CCAGTTCGAGCTTCCAGGCCACTTTGTTTACCTACTCAAGCCTCAGCAATGGCGGGTGCCCCTCTCCCAGCCTTGCTGCCGCCTTGCAGTTAGATCTCAGACTGCTGTGCTAGCAATGAGGGAGGCTCCGTGGGCGTGGGACCCTCCGAGCCAGGCGCCGGATATAGTCTCCTGGTGTGCCGTTTGCTAAGACCCTTGGAAAAGCGCAGTATTAGGGAGGGAGTGACCTGATTTTCCGGGTGCTGTGTGTCACAGTTTCCCTTGGCTAGGAAAGGGAATTCCCTTACCCCTTGCGCTTCCTGGGTGAGGCTATGCCTTGCCCTGCTTCGGCTCTCGCTCAGTGGGATGCACCCACTGTCCTGCACCCACTGTCCAACACACCCCAGTGAGATGAACCTGGTACCTCAGTTGGAAATGCAGAAATCAGTCATCTTCTGCATCACTCACTCTGGGACCTGTAGCCTGGAGCTGTTCCTATTTGGCCATCTTGGAACCACCCAACCCACATTATTTATTAAAACATAAGCCGGGCGCGGTGGCTCAAGCCTGTAATCCCAGCACTTTGGGAGGCCGAGACGGGCGGATCACGAGGTCAGGAGATCGAGACCATCCTGGCTAACACGGTGAAACCCCGTCTCTACTAAAAATACAAAAAAACTAGCCGGGCGAGGTGGCGGGCGCCTGTAGTCCCAGCTACTCGGGAGGCTTGGCACAAACCTGGGAGACAGAGCTTGCAGTGAGCTGAGATCCGGCCACTGTACTCCAGCCTGGGTGACAGAGCGAGACTCCGTCTCAAAAAAAAAAAAAAAATAAGACTTCTTAAAAGTATTTAAAGTGACCACCCATAAGCCTTCTTCTGATTTGTTATAAGAAATAATTTAAACTGAAATGGGCTATTCCTCTTTATACACACTACACTATTCTCATAAAAAATTAGATTTAGGACACTTCTGAGATCTTCCGTTAAAATGTAGATACCTCGGAATGTGTGGGGAGGTCATACAAAAATATTACAAGCTCCAATACCTGCACTTGCAGACAACATATAAACAATTAGCATCTTCATTCATATATCTAATGAGTATTTACTGAGTAACTTCTAGCATACTAAGGACTGTTGCGAGGCCTTATAAAAACAAATTGAACAATATGGGCAGAATTCTTGTTTTTTTAAAATTTACATTCTAGTGAGAAGACAAACAAGCAATCAAGTCAATAAATAAGATGATTTAAGAAGACAGACTGTAAAATGAATCATTATTTAACATGCTACTAAGAAATGCATCCTGATTTCAGAGATGTTAAAATATAACTTATACATTGCTGATGGGAAAGTAAATGGTATAGTCACTCTTCAAAATAGTTTGGCACTTTCTTACAAAAGAAAACCTGCATTACCATATGACCTTGAGGTTTTTATCCCAGAGAAATGAAAAATTACATTCACAGAAAATTCTATACAAAGAACATTCATAAAAGCTTTATTTTTAATAGCCAAAAACTAGAATCAGCACAGATGTCCTTCAACAAGTGAATGGTTAAATAAACTGTGATACAGCTGTACTATTGAATACAACTCAGCAATAGCAAGGAACAAACTACTGATACAGGCAACAACTTGAATGAATCTCCAGGGAATTATACTAAGTGAAAAAAGCAAATCCCAAAAGGTTATATATTTTAAAGTATAATCCTATGTCTATAACATTTTTCAAATTAGAACTTTTTAAAAATGGAGGACAGATTAGTGGTTGCCAGGAACTAGGAATGAGAGAGGATAGGGAGGTGTATAGGAGAGTGGTGCATATAGTTATAAAAGAACAACACAAGAGATCATTGTAGTGATGGAACTGTTCAGATAGGAACAGATAAACCTACAGATAGGAAAAAATTGTATAGAATTTACCCACATACACATACACACACACATACAGATGAATATACAGTAAAACTGGGGAAATCCTAATAAAATATATGAATTGTATTAATGTCAGTGTTCTGGTTGTGATGTCATGCTATAGTTTTTCAAAATGTTACCATTGGGAGAAAGCGCAAATAGTCTAAGGGATCTTTGTACTGTTTCTTACAACTGCATGTGAATCTATAATTATTTCCATTTAATTTTCAGTTTAAAAAATGTATATCTCAGAATCTTTGAAATTTAGTAAGTACAACGAAGGAAACAAAGGGCAACATAAGAGATTGAGGGCAAGGGGGTTCCTTTAAGTAGGGTGGCAGGGAAGGGCTCCCAGATGTGCCACATGAGCTGGACTCTAAAGGATGAGAAAGATCCAGCCATGATGGCAGAGAGACCCCATGTATGTACAATGGCCTTAAGGTAAGAAAGGGCTTGAGTGCTACAAGAACGAAACAGGCTGGTAAAGATGGAGTTGCTAATCTTCAGCAACTTCAGGAAGAAAGAGGTCTAGGAAGTGGTCAGAACTGCAGAAAGAGCCAAACCTTGGTAAGGAGTTGGGCTTTTATGAAACTAACAGCAAAGAGAAGAAAGCCTTAGCAATCATTAGGCAAGAATAAGAACAACAGTAAGAGGAAGACCGGGCATCTGGGGAGACTGGAGGAAAGCAACAGTGGCAAGAGATTGCAAACACACCTCAATTACTTCACCATTTTGCTTCGGACTAGCCTTGGCCAAATTAATGACATTGCTGCTGATAAAAACACTAAACATTTCCAAGGGTCACAGTCAAACCATTAGCAACTGGAAAGGGATGACTGCAAAGTGGGGCTCCTTCACTGCCAGGACAGGCTCTAGAATTATGTGTGCTAAACTGTGAAAGCCTGTGTTTGTGTAAATTTTTTTGCAAGAGAACCAAAACTTTCATCTGCGCATGTTCAATATCAAGTAGACAAAAGTGCTTTAAATGCTCAGTTTTGTGCTTGAGGTCACAGTTCTGCATTATGATTTGAAATCTGAGGCTAGGCATGGTGGTTCAGACCTGTAATTACAGCACTTTAGGGGGCTGAGGCAGGCGGATCACATGAGGCCAGGAGTTCAAGACCAGCCTGACCAACATGATGAAACCCTGTCTCTACTAAAAACACAAAAATTAGCCAGGCATGGTGGCATGTGCCTGTAATCTCAGCTACCCAGGAGGTTGAGGAAGGAGAATTGCTTGAACTTGGGAGGTGGAGGTTGCAGTGGGCTGAGATTGCACCACTGCACTCCAGCCTGTGTGACAGAGGGAGACTCTGTCTCAAAACAAACAAACAAAAAAAGATCTGAAATATGAGACATATTATGGAAGTAAATGTTTTAATATCACAATTTTTCTTTTCAAATTACAATATTTTTTCAAAGCAATAAAAGTGTTAAACACCTCAATGACTAACTTAAAGAATGTCTGATGAACTATTAACTAAAATTATATATTAAGATATAAAATTATAGATTATAAATTGCATAATTTAAATTATACAATTGAGGGTTCATGACATTTCCTTATAACCACTTTTAACTCCCTTAATTACTGTGTCCTTGTTAACAGCACCTCTCACAAGTTACTGCAGCAAGGTACATTTTTCTATATTAAACTGTCAAAAAGGATAATCAATTCAGGTGAGATTCTGGCAAAATTGTTTCACTTATGCATTGCTATTACATTCTATAATATATTCATATTTGTTTTATATTAAATTAATATCATCAAATACTTATCAAGTAAAACTGATGCTCTAGACACTCCCCTGGGCTCCATTTGGTACCAGTACACTAGCAGAGAAGGCATTTAACTGTGAGGCATTAGAAGTATTAAAATAATTAATATGGGCCAAGTGTGGTGGCTCACGCCTGTAATCCCAGCACTTTGGGAGGCCAAGGCGGGTGGATCATCAGGTCAGGAGATCGAGACCATCCTGACTAATACAGTGAAACCCCGTCTCTATTAAAAATACAAAAAATTAGCTGGGCATGGTGGCACATGCCTGTAGTCCCAGCTACTTGGGAGGCTGAGGCAGGAGAATCACGTGAACCCAGGAGGCAGAGGTTGCAGTGAGCCGAGATCACGCCACTGCACTCCAGCCTGGGCGACAGAGCAAGACTCCATCTAAAAATAAATAAATAAAAATAAAATAAAATAAAATAATTAATGTGGAATATTGATTATGACATAAAATACTGTAGGTCTGACACCATTTAAAGAGCTGGAAAACTGTGTTTACCCTTTGATTCAGTAATCTCACATTCAGGAGTGAGGGCAAATTTGAGACAAATAACAGAACAGATGATTTCATGATGTTGCTATTGTCACTGTCACCATCATCGTCATTTACTGATGCCTACTATGTATCAGGCATAATTTGGTGTTATTGGCTTTGAGACAAGATCTCACTGTGTCACCCAGACAGAGTGCCCTGGAGTGCAGTGGCAATCACTGCAGCCTCGAACTCCTGGGCTCAAACAATCCTCTCACTGCAGCCTACCAAGTAGCAGGGACTACAGGTCCATACCACCATGTTCAGCTAATTTTGCATTATTTGTAGAGATGAGGTCTTAGTATATTTCCCAAGCTGGTCTTGAACTTCTGGCCTCAAGCAATCCCCCTGCCTCAGCCTTCCAAAGTGTTGAGATTACAGGCGCGAGCCATTACGCCTGTAATGATAAGAGCTTGTAATAGTCTGCTAGTTATCTATAATATCTCAATATCCATCCTGAGCTTTTATGAAAGACGAAATTTGGGCTCTTCATTCATCTAGTCTGTATCTTTTCCATTTCTCAAGAACAGAAACACAAATTCTCACTAACATGTGAAACTGTGGTCCACCACAAACCTCCTTAGAACTTCCTGAGGTACAAGTATCGAAGTCTACCACATACACCTTTGATTGACTATTATTAAACTTCACTGGAATGGGGAGTGTGTGCATACGTCTTCTTAATGTCCTAAAACAAAATAGGTGGGAAATAATATAATTAAGTCTACAATTAAGGGACATTTACAGAAAAACAAAATAATATCCAAATCACAGAAGAAATAGATTACCTTCATTAGAAGAGAATTATTCCAAGATTTTACAAGTTCAGCAGCTCTTAAGTCTTGCCAACTTATAAAGTTGTGAAAATGATTTCCTGTTTTCCTAGAAAGAATAAAACAGTATTTTGAGACCCAGCATAAATCAGAGACTATGTTAAAGATGTGCCATAAGAGAAAACAAAATTAGAGGCCATACTATAATTGCAAAGTATAATTTAGTTAGATGTGCCTTTCTGAATGATTTCTTCTGGATTTTATAAGTTGAATCAACACTGCACAACAATTATGTGACATATAGTATGAAATGTATATACTTCCAATACCAAAACTAACTAAGGAAAAGGCCTTTGAAGACCTGCTCTACACACTTTAAAGGCAGATTTTTTAAAAGCCAACGCTATTCCCCTTCATTGCACTTATCCTGATACACATAATCCAATAAAAACCTCTGACCTGTGGAAGAGCTGAAATATTGCCTGAGCCTAGTTCTACACCAGTTAACTTTAGGATTGGCTTAGCCATTGGCAACCTAACATGCTTACCAAAATCTCTCCAATAAATAGAAATTCAATAAACCTTGGGTCAATACTACAATAAAAGTACAGAGCTAAGAAATACAGAAGTAAAAAAAAAAAAATCATTTTTCCTTTGAGGCTCCTGCAAATCAACCACTGGCATCTACCAATCAACATCCAAGTCAAGCTTGCTTTCTACCCCAACTCCAGGCCTCCTCCTGTGTGACTTGAACCATGTTCAATTACTAAGACTCGTTCTCTACTCTACTTAAGCATTCCACACCCAAGGTTATATCCTCACCTTTACACGTTCTACCACTGAAAGTCTAATGTTCCAATATTAGTCAGCACATAGGAATAAAAGTTTTCAGTTTTCTCAATCTTACTCCTTAAACACCTGGCCTTCCAACTCACTGCAACCTTTAATCCCTCAAACATTCCCTTTTCTTCCGACCAACCACTTCTAACTTTGGTTACTTTCCCAGATCCCATGGTCTATTACTTTAACAGCTTGCCATTGCACTCTCTAATACTTAACTTAAAAAAAAAAAAAATTGTGGCAAAATATACATAATATGAGATTTACCATTTTACCTTATTTTACATGTACAATTCAGTGGCAGTAAGTACATTCACAACATTGTGCAACCATCACCACTGTTTCTAAAACTCTCATCACCCCAAAGAGAAGCTCTGTAACAATTAGGAAATCATTCCCCATTCCTTCCTCACCCCATCCCTTATAGCCCCTATTCTATTTTCAGTCTCTCTACATTTGCCTATTCCAGGTAGATCATATATAAGTAGAATTATACAATATTTGTTCTTTTATATTTGGCTTACTTCACTTAGTATAATGTTTTCTAGATTGATCCATGTTGTAGCATGTATCAGAACTTTATTCCAAATTATGACTGAACAATATTTCACTGTATTTATATACTACATATTGTTTATCACTTCATCTGTTGGTACACACTTGGGTTCTTTCTACCCTTTGGCTATTGTGATTACTGCTGCTTTAATACTGGTGTGAAGTATCTGTTTGAGTCTTTGTTTTCGATTTTTTTTAGGTATATACCCAGGCGTGGAACTGCTGGGTCATATAGTAATTCTATGTTTCTTTTTGAGGAACTGGCAAACTGTTTTCCACAGTCATTGCACAATTTTACATTTCTACCAACAATGTACGAGGGTTCCAATTTTTCCAAATCCTCACCAGCACTTATCTTTCTTTTTTAAAAATTATCACCATTCTAGTGGGTGTGAAGTGGTATCTCATTATGGTTTTAATTTGCAATTCCCTAATTACTAATGACATTGAGCATCTCTGTGTGTGCTTACTGACCATCTGTATATTACTGAAGTCCTCTGTCCATTTATTAACTGAGTTGTTGTTTTCTTGTTGTTGAATTGTAGGAATTATTTACATATTCTAGATATTAATCCCTTACTAGGGATTAGGGATTAATATGTTACATGCTTGGAGGTTACAGTTTGCAAATATTTTCTCCCATTCCATGAGTTGTCTTTTCACTCTGTTGATAGGGTCCTGTTTTTTACCTTTATTAATGGAAATCGCAACATTTACCTAGATCATGAGCATGTTACTTCTCTTCCCTTTAGAAATCCAAATGGTCACCATTATCATGAGTACAAATCAGAGGAGTGATTTCCTATTGTTTTAGTCCTCCATCTTGGATGAAATTACAAACCAAACCTACCAAGATGCACATCTTCCATGTTACATGCTGCAGGTGGTTTTCTGAAGTCTAACTGCACATTAGATATCAATGACTAAAGTTTTTCAGACATATTTTTAAAATGCAAATTGCACATTATATCAAATTAATTTTAACGTAGCTTACTTATTATTTATAATTAAATTTAGGGTAATTTTTCTACTTTGGAGAGTTCCAATAGTTAAGAAAACTGAAAAATTAATCATCATAAACAGATGAAAAAATAAATGTCCTTTGATATATAAAGTCCAATTTATCTATTTTTTATTTCGTTAACTATGCTTTCTATGTCATTTAAGGAATAACTGCCAAATCCAAAGTCATGATGATGATTTTCTCCTGTTTTCTTCTAAGAGTTTTTAGTTTAGAGTTAAAGCTTTTACATTTAGGTCTTTGATGCATTTTAGGGTTCATTTTTGTAAATAGTATTAGGTAAGGGTCCAATTTAATTCTTTTGCATGTGAATGCTCAGTTTTCCCAGCACCATTTGTTGAAAAAACTATTCATTTTCCACTGGCTGGTCTTAGCACCTTTGTCAAAGATCAGATTGTGTTTGATAAAGATAAAATCTATTGATATACAATTCTTCAGACCCATTCTACAATAACACATACTTATACACTTAAATCTGATGTTCAATCACTGGTTTCAGCAAATATTTATAAGGCAATTTGTACCAGGAGTTGGGTACACAGCTATGAACAGACACACATAGCACTTTTGCTCTTATGACTGTACTTTCTATCAGGGAATTTAAACAAATAATCAATTACTCAGTTGCTCACTTACAGCCGGAATACGCCCTATAAAGGATAAATAGAGGTGCCATGAGAGTATTCAACAGATGGCCCCTGCGTGGTGGTCAGGGAAGGCTTGAGAAATGACAATGGATCTTAGCTCTGAAGGATGAGAAGGAATCAGAAGTATGAACATTCCCAACAAAATGTGCTATATGTTCAAAGGTCCTAGAGCAAGATGAAGCATGTCTTAGAGGAACTGAAAAGCTAGTGTGACTGAAGAACAATGAGGGGGAGAGAGAAAATCACAAGATGAAAGTGGCCTCATTAATTTATAACATGGAACAAGACAATCTAGAATACTGATTTTCAAGTAATAGCATATATTCTAATATTCACTCAGCATTGACTTGGGTTTATCTCTATCAACAATACAAGGAAAAATGAAGGAAAAGTGTAAATGGCAATACTGTAAATTAATTGTCTTAAAACCTTCTAACACTTTACACCATTCTGTGGCTCTTAATATATTTTATGTCATAAGTAGTTGGTATGACTCATTAATGTAAGTATCAAATACTACAATAAAAATCTATTTTGTGCAATGGGAATATAGAGTAATTTGTGTACCTACATACTGAGACTGTAAATTAGGGCTGGTATTCTTATTCATCTGTATGTGCAGTGCAGCCCCCAGCACGGTGCATTACTCCCTGTGAGCCCTCAAACAGTTAAGAGTGAATCCCGGTTCCCGTGACTCACAGTTTGTGTTGCTAATTGGCACACACCCTGATCTGAAGTTAGCTGGCAGAAATCTCCCTCAAGAGACACAGTGACTAAAGAAACAAAACAGCTTGCGATTTTTTTTTTTTTTAGAACAAAAGGAATTTAAAAGAACCAAAATGGAAGTGATATCAGTTAGAGTTATTTTAGAAAGCAGGCTAAACACACCACTTTTTGAATATATTGGAAAAAAAGCTTAACCTGAAGAACATGAAGAAAGTTCAAAGACTGAAAAAAGTTAGTAAGTTTCCTGGTCCCTAAAGGGGGGATGGGGGAGAGACAAGGAGAAAAACAGAAACAAAGTTCAAAGTTTTAGACCTCCTGACAGCAACTGTGAGGAAAATAATGTTTCTACGGCCATGAGGACAGAAATGCACCATAGATGCAGGAGGAAAAAAACAACAAGCTGGGAGGAGGAGCTGCTGGCCAGGATTGGAATGAACAATAGGTTTTTCCACAGGGTCTAGTCTGTCTCCCCTTTTCTCTCACAAATGAACAAGAAGTGCTTCTGGTTGGCCCTGTGTTGTGCCCATCTGTGTTGTGTCCCCGCTGTTTGCTAGGGCTCTTGTGGAATCTGTCAGCATCATACACCACATTGGCTCCCTGGGGCCCAATGAGCAGAATAGGCTCCATTATTTTAATGCAAAAGAAGCACAAAGCCTTTCAGTTTTTTTTCAAAAAATATCCACTATTGCAGTTTCCACAAGCAAAGAATGTTATCAAAACTCATGAAAGAATACAAACATTTCAAAAAAGAAAAAAGGACAGCCAAGATAAAAAAAAACTCACAGTGAATTGCTTTAGGAAGAAGACGTATCCTTCTACAACACCACCACCAGTAAGGAAAGTGAACTGTCTTGAAATCTAACTCTTCTATTCCTTCTAACGGTGATGTATAGTCCTAGCATCAGACAAAAACTTTGCTTCCTAATATTCTGACCTTCCTGTCATGAGTGATATGGTAGCCAGGTCCTGATGAAAGCAATCACTGGGGCCAATGGCCAAGTGAATGTGACACATCCAATCAGTTCTTTCCCTAAGAACACTCCTCCCTCCACTTTCATCCATCCACTTCCCAGATTAGCGTCGGTCCTGCTTTGCTGGCTTTTTCTTCCCTGACTCACTTTAAATTTAGTAAGGGGAACCCACAGTCCAAATCCTTAGCTTGCTTTTCTTTTCTTCACATAATCTCTACCAGAGAACACATTATTTTTTGAGACTTCATCTACACCAATGGTTCCAAACTGGGGGTGTCCCCAGGGGACATTTAGCAATGTTTTGAGACATTTGTGGTTGGTACAAATGGTGGTGAGGTGGGCTGGGGTGCTACTGACATCTAGTGGGTAGAAGCCAGGGATGCTGCTAAACATCTGCAACACCACAGGACAGTCCCTACCACAGTGAATTGTTTAGCTCAAAATGTCAACAGTGTCACTAAGATTAGATACCTTATGTGTACAGGTAAGTTTAATTCATTCATCCCTTCATCTGACAATACACTACTATTTAAGATTTATTTAAGATTTGCCATAACCAAGGACAGTGCCGGGGGGTGGAGTAGGCACAGAAGAACTGTAGATGTAGGCATCAATCTGAGATGCATCATGCCATGAAAAAAAAGAGTACTGGGCCGAGCATGGTGGGTCACGCCTGTAATCCCAGCGCTTTGGGACACCAAGGCAGGCAGATCACTTGAGGCTCAAGAGTTCAAGAGCAGCCTAGGCAACATGGTGAGACTCCATCTCTATAAAAATTTTAAAAATTAGCCAGCCATAGTGTGGTACACACCTATAGTCCTAGCTACTTGGGAGGCTGATGTGGGAGGATCCCTTGAGCCCAGGAGTTCGAGGCTGCAGTGAGCTATGATCATGTCACTGCACTCCAGCCTGGGTAGCAAAGTGAAGACCTCGTCCCCCAAAAATGAAAATAAAAGGAAACTATCTGATGGAGATGTGCTATGCCTCAGTCCAAATTAAACCAATGTTCTAGTCACCTCTGCGATATCTCCACATTTGCATGTCCAAAACCAAACATTTTATCATTTCTCCTTCTATCTACTCTACTACCCAACCCATTCCTCCTTATATTCTCTATGATTTCTATCAAACAGCACAAACATCAAGGCCAGCAGTATTGGTAAATTCAAATTTCTTCTTCTTGCCTAATACTGAATTAGAAGCCAAGTCCTTGTGAATTCACCCTGATTATATTTTTCAGATTCATCTTTTCTCCCTCTGCTCACTTTTCTTTCCCACTGCCCAAACTCAAGATGTCCTTTGGAGCCTAATGCTTTAACAAAGACACATTTTACAGTGGTGTGTGTGGGTACGTGGTGGGGGTATTTAGGAGGAGGGAATGTGGGTGTGTGTTTAAACCAAGAAACAGAGAAATACATGCTAGCCGGGGGAGGTGGCTGAGGTGGGAGAACTGCTTGACCCCAGGAATTGGAGACCAGCTTGGCAATATGGTGAAACTCCGTCTCTACAAAAAAACAAAAAAATTAGCCAGGCATAGTGAAGTGCACTTGTAGTCCCAGCTACTCGGGAGGCTAAGGCAAGAGGATCACCTGAGCCTGGGAAGTTGAGGCTGTAGTGAGCTGTAATCATGCCACTACACTCCAGCCTGGGGGACAGAATAAGATCCTGTCTTAGGAAAAAATAAAAAGAAAGAAACATGTTGAAGGCAATGTGGGGATAGTGTAAAGAACACATGCTTCTGAGTCAAAAAGACAATTTAGAATCTTGGCTCTACTTGCTCACTGAGCAACACTGAACAACTTATTTCTCTGTAAAAACAGGTATGATGCCTAAACTGTAAGTTTGTTGTAAGGATAATGGAACTTGGGATTGTCACAGGTGTTTACTATACAGTAGCTATTATGATATTATAACAGTGTTTAGTGTATATACGCCTCATATGCTATAGACAAATATTAAATTTAGAGTAGACCGAAAATATAAACCATAAGCACAGTATTGTGTTTCAGAAATTTGTGAGCTTCCTCTGACTCTTTAGGTATAAGTTAATGTTTTAGATCTCGATCTAGGCTTGTTTGAAAGCTAACTTACCCAAAAGAAAGAAATGGATAATTTTAATGACAGTAAATCTTTCTGTGGTTATTTTTTTATGTAAGTCAAGCTCAAATGACATGCAGCAAGCATATAAGCCAGAAAGCAGGCCCATTTCATCCCTCTTAACCAAACAAAACTATTTCTCAATTCACAAAGTTAAAACTCCCCAGAGATTTCATAACAGTGTACTCACTGTGGCATGAACCCAGCAGTAGGGTGCTTCTCACAAAATGTACTTACTTGTTCCACGTAATAAAAGTTCCTCTCTGTGTTGAAATGCCAAGACCAACAATTTGATTCATCTGTATTCCTGCAGCTAAAAGTAAAGATGGATAAAACACATGTTTTAAAGCCAGTGATATTTTTCTTTACAATATTACCATATGGAAAAAAAAAATCCAATGTAATCTTTAAGAAAAATACCTGGGTTTAGCATTCTAACAAAACAACTGGAATTAATAAATAAAGCATTACTAAGATGATTCTGCAGAATTTTTTTTTTACTTGAAGAAAACAAAGGTTGTTTCTTGTTTTACTGTTTTTTGTTTTGAGACAAAGTGTCACTCTGTTGCCCAGGCTGGAGTGCAGTGGCGCAATCTTGGCTCACTGCAACCTCTGCCTCCTGGGTTCAAGCAATTCTCATGCCTCAGCCTCCCAAGTAGCTGGGATTACAGGCGTGCACCACCACGCCTGGCTAATTTTTTGTATTTTTAGTAGAGATGGGGTTTCACCATGTTGGCCGGCCTGGTCTCAAACTCCTGACCCTGGGTGATCCACCTACCTTGGCCTCTCAAAGTGCTGGGATTACAGGTGTGAGCCACTGTGCCTGGCCTTAACGGTTGTTTCTTAATAACAAAGTAGCTTTTTTTGTTTTACGTGTTGGGAAAAAAACAAATACTATGCAAAGTATGTCAGATTTATTTTTTCTTGGTAATAATAAGATTGGCTCTTAATGTAAGCAATGGTCAATCACAATAGAAGCTGGTTAATGACAATAAAGGAAAACTCTCAAGGAAAGTAGTATAATTATTGAAGCTGAGATCTTATTTTCAACACAAACTGATGCCAGGATGCAAATAAAAATATTGACTTTTTGGTCCAAATTTCTTAAAATATAGCAACTCGAGTATTTGTTGTGATATTCTTTAAAAATCTATTTATCCCACTGGGAAAATCTGGGACAACTTCAATTTGAGCACTGAGGAAAACACATCAACCCCCATATAGTATTCTAAAGTTATTCAACCTGAATCTAACTGGGAGGAAGCAATCAGACAACCTCAAAATGAGGGACACTCTACTCAACTGGCTTGTACTTTTGAAAACTCATAAGAATGTACTCTAGATGAAAGGAGCACATTCAATGTCATAAGGATGTGCTCTAGATGAAAGGAGCCTAAGCCGACTGACAGCTAAATGCAGTGCCTCCTCTTTGGCTGGGTTCTAGATTGAAAAAATAAGTTTTTTCGTTTTTTGTATTCACTAAGGCAAGAGAGAATATTGAAGACAGAGTATTAGAAAACAGTACTGTGTTAATGTTATACTTCCTGAGTGTGGTAATTGCGTTGTGGTTATAGGAGAAAATACTCCTTTCCTATGGTTCAGAAAGAAAAAAGTTTGCAGAAAATGGTAAACATTACAAAATATGTTTGAATCTACAAGAAAGATACACAAGAGTTTACCGTACTATTCTTGCAACTTTTGTATAGACTTTGAAATATTTCAAACCAAAAAGATGAGAAGAAGCAATTCAGCCAGAAAAATGAAGTAAAAGATCTTTTAGAATTTACATTTGCAAGTAATCTTTGCCATGTTCTCAAGCAAGGTTGCCATTTCAATGTTTTGAGATGTTTTCAATGTCTAAGAATGTTTCTAACATTCTTAAAGAACTAAGACTTAGACGATAGCTTTGGCCAGGAGAGCACTTTATGTCAAGTGACCAGAAAAAAACAAAAACTTATTTTACAATAAAAATAACTCAGTTGTAAACTCATGAGAGTAGAAACTATACACTGTAACTTTTGTTTATAATCCTCTGGTATTTTGTGCCTAACAGGAAATCAAAACAGCACTAGCTATAACCTGGAATGAGGAAATGGTGAGCATTTACATTACAGCTGAAAAGAGACAAACCAGAGGACACAGCAGATGTTACCTTTCCCTGACAAAGGAGTTCACTGTGAATTACAAATTTCCCTTGAAAAATACTGGGAAACTGTAATCCGCATAAAATACTACATATATATATATATACACACACACACACACACACACACACACACACATATATAAAAATTAGGAACACCACAACTACAGAAGCCTGAGGAAAACTCTTATTACAAAAAAAAATAATAAAGATTGTTGTTATTTTTATAAATCCAATTAATTACCTTTGACTGCTTCTTTTATTACGGCAACAAATTGAATCCAAAGAACATCAGGATCAATTTCTACCCAGCCAATTTGAGGATAAAGATTTTCTACCTATTGAGGAAAAGAAGATTTAGTAAAAACAGCATTAGATCAAGTCAGTAGTATGGGTATTTGGGTCTCAAAACTACTGGTTAAAATAATTAATATGATTTTATTATCTAATTAATTTTTATTAAAATTGAAAGAACACATATATAAAATAACAAAGGACTACATGCCAACATCAAAATAGCAGTAACTCATGAGTTCGCAGAAGATTTTAGCTTTGTTTATCTCTGCTTTTATTTTCTAAGTTTTCTACAAGGTATGTGTTTAAAATAAGAAAAAAGGCTTTTAAAAATTAAAAATAAATTTAAAAAAAAGTAAATTCCAGTTCAGACCATGATAGAGTAAGCACACTCGACCCTGTCTCTTCCACTAAATACAAATGTAACACCTCGACAGAATCCATGGAGCAGCTATTGTGGACTCTTAAAAAGTATATTGCAGCAGGTGGACTGCAGGAAGTAGATAAGAATTCAGGTACCATGGAACTGGTGGTGAGTTTCCCATTTTTCTTCTGAAATCCCCTGGCTTAGACTCAAGACATCCTGAAAACCAGAACTGGGAACTAGGGCACAGAGGAAGTGCCAGAAGCAGCTCTACTGTTTTGGCTCAAAGAATGAGAACGCGAACTCCTAACACTCAGAGGAAATGGAAGAGATCTCCCATTTTTCTTTTTTCCCTTGTCTCCATACTTTTGTACCCACACAATCCTGCAGCAGTGGCAGCAGCAGTTAATAGTGGTATCAGTGCATCTCAACAGGTACCTAAAATCCTGAGGAAGGTGAAACTTTCTCTCCAATCAGATGAGCCGTGATCCAAGAGGGTGTGGTCAACCCTATGGCTTTTTTCTCTGTGTGTTTCCACAGCCTAACCCCAGACGTACCCAGCCGAATGGGGTAAGAAAAGCCCCAGCTTTTTGGCCAGGAACCATAAGGGGAGGTTCAGAGAATCAAAAAGTACCAGGGCCGTCTCAGAGACGGAGGAGCTTGGAAAAGATACCACAGAAAGTTGTGTATGAACTCTTAGGCTCACCCCAAAGCTGCACTCGTATGGATGTAATCCTAAACATTATACCAAAGATATTAAGAACAGAACTAAAGGACAGACCACTGCCCAGGTCCCAGACTAACTACTAGGTTGCACACACACAGGGCAGATCCAAATAGTACTGCCAAGATTTTGAAAACAAATCTGACATTGAAACTGCAGTCCACAGAAGACTTAATTTGTAGCCTGAACCCAACTGCAATAAATACCTGCCAGAAGAAAAACAACAAAATTCCTCATAGGATTTATAAAACCCCCAGGGTCTTTTAACATAATATTCAAAATTTCTAGGATACAATCCAAAACTACAAGGTATATGAAGAACCTGAAAAATCTAACTCATATTGGAAAAGATAATCAAGAAATGCCAATGCCAAGATGACACAGATATCTGATAAACAGTCTAAAGCAGCTATTAGGAAAATATTCCAAGAGGAGTGAATACACTTGCAACAAATGCGAACACAGAAAGTCTCAGCAGAGGTAACTGCAGTAATCATTTAACTACATATGTGCATATCAAGGTCAGTATATCAAGACATCATGAAGAATACCTTAAATATATCCCATTTTAAAAAGAAAGAAAAAAGGCCGGGCACGGTGGCTCAAGCCTGTAATCCCAGCACTTTGGGAGGCCGAGACGGGCGGATCACGAGGTCAGGAGATCGAGACCATCCTGGCTAACACGGTGAAACCCCGTCTCTACTAAAAAATACAAAAAACTAGCCGGGCGAGGTGGCGGGCGCCTGTAGTCCCAGCTACTCGGGAGGCTGAGGCAGGAGAATGGCGTAAACCCGGGAGGCGGAGCTTGCTGTGAGCTGAGATCCAGCCACTGCACTCCAGCCTGGGCGTAAAAAAGGAAATTTTAGAATTGAAAAATGTACTGATCAAAATTTAAAACTTACTGGATGGGCTCAATAGCAGAAGGGAGATAGAAGAAAATGAATAAACTTGAAGACAGATCAATAGAAATTATCTGCACAACAGAAAGAAAAAAGATTGGAGGAAAAAAAAAGAACAAAGCCCCAGGGACATACCAAAGGTCTAATATTTGTTTAATCAGGGGTCTCCAAAAATGAAAAGAAAGAGTTCAGAGCAGAAAAAAAAAATTACTTGAGGGAAGTAACAATGCTAAAAGCTGCCCAAGTTCAGTGAAATCTATATATTCAAGAGGCTCAGAAAACCTTTACTAAATGAACCCAAAGCATTACACACCCAGATATCATAATCAAAATGCGGAAAACTAAAAGCAAAGAAAAAAGTTTGAAACCAGAAACTTCACATATACAGAACAAAAATTTAAATGACTGTGGATTTCTCATCAGTACCATGAAAGCCAGAAATAAGTGGCTCAACATTTACAGTATGCTAAAAGAACCGCCATCCCATATTTCTATAACAAAATCTCAACAGGATTTTTTGTAGATTCTAAAATTTGTATTAGGCAAAAACACTAAAATAGCCCAAACAATGTTGAAAAAGAATAAAGTCAGAGAGGAAAAAAAAGAATAAAGTTAGAGGCACACTACCCAATTTCAAGACTGACTATAAAGCTACAGTAATCAAAATAGTATGCTATTGGCATAAAAACTGACACATAGATCAATGGAACAGAATAGACAGTCCAGAAATAGACTCACAAATATGACTAGTTGATTTTCAACAAAAGTACAGAGGCAATTCCGTGGAGAAAAGATAGTTTTTTCAACAAATGGTGTTGTAACAAGTGGACATCCATATGCAAAAAAAAATCAGGCCAGGCATGGTGGCTCACGCCTGTAATCCCAGCACTTTGAGAGGCCAAGGCGGGCAGACTGCCTAAGCTCAGGAGTTCGCAACCAGCTTGGGCAACACAGTGAAACCCCATCTCTACTAAAAAAAAAAAAAAAAAGCCGGCGTGGCAACAGCACCTGTAGTCCCAGCTACTCGTGAGGCTGAGGCAGGAGAACTGCTTGACCCCGGGAGGCGCAGGTTGCAATGAGCCAAGATCCAACAACTGCACTCCAGCCTGGGCGACAGAGCTCAGGCTCCATTCTCAAGAAAAAAAAAAAAAAAAAAAAATTCACCTACCCAACTACAACTTACAAATTAACTCAAAAATGGATCAAGATTTAATGTAAATGTAAAACTATAAAAGTTTAGAGAAACGGCAAGGAAAATCCTGTGAGTTGGGTGTTTAGGCCAAAGAGTTCTTAGAACCACCAAAAGGTTAATAATCATGTAACAAAATTGATAAATTGGACCTATCAAAGTTAAAAACACTGTTTGCAAAAGATTGGTTAAGAAAATAAAACTGGTGGCTCAAGCTGTAATCCCAGACTTTGGGAGGCCGGACGCGGATCACGGAGTCAGGAATCGAGACATCTGGGCTACACGGGTGAAACCCGGTCCTAACTAAAAATACCAAAAACTAAGCCGGGCGCCGGTGGCGGCGCCTGTTAGGTCCATACTACTCGAGGGAGGCAGGAGAATGGCGTGAACCGGGAGGCGGGGGTTTGCAGTTGAGCGGGAGTCGCACTGCACTCAGCCTGGGCGGACAGAGCGAGACTCGCTCAAAAAAAAAAAAAAAAAAAAAGAAAATAAAGACAAAAAGGCACAGGACTGGTAGAAAATATGTGGAAATCCATCATATCCAACCCACTTAGGGTAATATTCCAGGAATATATTAAAAAAATTTAAAATTTCAAAGTAAGAAAACAAAGATGACTCAATTTACAAATGGGCACAAGACTTCATGCACTCCATCAAAGAAACATATGG